CATTTTTTTACTTTTTCCTCCATATCTCCGAAACCGCTAGACCAACCTTCATGAAAATTTTATCGATTCTTCATCTTGTCAATACAAGTGAAATGTTTTTTGAATTATTCAAATCGGACCCTCCGTTCTCTTGAAAACTGAGTTACCGTTTTCGGCACTTTTTGCCCCGTATCTTCGGAACGGCTAGACCTGCCTTCGCCAAAAACTAATCAGCACGTCTCCTTATCAATACGAATCGAATGTTTTTTGAATTATTCAAATCGGTTGATCCGTGTTCCCGAAATCGTCGACGAAAATTTGTATCCGCACATACATACACACACGCACATACATACATACATACATACACACACACACACACACACACACACACACACATACATCCATTTTTTCTAAGGTATGCCAAAATGTTCAGAAATCTTTGAAACGTAAAGATATATAAAAATTTTCATTTTCGATTTTTTTGCGATTACTATAACTTACCCTACGGGAAGTTAAAAATATTATAATTATTTATCAAATATAACAATATAAAATTTTATATTAATTACAATAATATATTATAATAAAGAGTCGATTTATAAAAAAATTATATCAATGTTAGGTGTGGTACTAAACTTATTACCGACTAATTTTAATATGGGATCTGTTTTATTAAGATATTGCATAATAGTTCTCATTAAATATATATAAAAAAAATTTAATTATAGTTTGATTAATTATGTTGAGGCTAAAGCAATGGTATGTAATATTGTTCAAACTGATACTCAACAGTCACATTAGCAATTTGCCTTTTAAAAATAAGACTTTCGATATACGGATGAGTGTCTATATAGAAATCGCACAGTTCATTTTTAAATCTTCGCTAAGGTTTTTCAAATTAAATGTCACGTTTCTATTGCTTGTAGAGTAGAGGCAATTGAAGTGAATTACTCTTCTTCGATGGATTGGGCATGTGGATTTCCTTTCGATTTGAGTCAAATTTTACTTAAAAATATAGTATACATTGAGTAATAAATACGGTTGTTTTCATTCTATTGGTTTACATTCCCTATAACACCAAGCGGCGAAGACGGCCGCGAGATTTTTGCTGTTAAATGTTATCTCTATAAAAGATCTCAAGCTATAACTTAAAAATTATAAAGAATTATATTCTAATTATTGATGACATTGCTCTAAGAATGTTTGTGTATAATAGAAATAACTATTATGACTATTACCATTATAAAACAATCTAAAATAAACGTTTTTACGTCAGTAATTTTCTTTAGCAAGTACTTGGCAGATGGCCCAACAACAAATAAGTCTTGGCGAGTCAATAACTTCTATCAAACAAACATCTGACTTAGAAAATAACTTAATAACAAGAATTAATATTTATTACTAATGGTATGTATTTATGGAATAATTGCACATTAGTTCCGATCGGTTTTTATTAAGAAATTTCATTATTTAATGGTCTCATTGTTCTAACAAACAATTTAGTATTATATAAGTAATACAACTGCAAAACATCATTAAATACACATACTTTTGTGAATTAAATTTAATACCTAACGTTTCCAATGTCAATTTTCTTGTTATTTCTCTATATTTATATTCATTTAGTTATTGAAGCTTTTGGACATTTCAAATTCGTAAGGTACTTGTTTTATATAGATCATGGTCATGGTCATATGATCATGGACATGATTTTATATTTAACTAGTGGTGTATGGCATCATGCGTTAAGGCAATTTGCTGGACCTTCCCGTACTAAAAATTAAATTTGTTAAAAAAGATTCATTTTTTTTAAACTTTGAAAAAAAATATTTTCGAGAATTTTGAAGAAAAAAAGATTTTTTTTATATTTTGAAATTTTTAATATTTGAAATATCGAAGCGCGTAAGCGCCGCGTCGCAGTCTAACGGATGAATAATGCTAGGCAACCCAAAAAAATGTTAACAAAATTTATACTTATTATTAAAATCTCTATGAATTATAATAGGTATAATTTGATGAGCATATGTCTATTAATCATTTTTGCCATATGGCATTTTTTTTACTTTTTTCACTCGATCTCCGAAACTGCTATACCTGCCTTGCCAAAAATTAAATCAGTTCTTCATTTTGTCAATACAAATAAAAGATCTTTTGAATTACTAAAATTGGAAGCTCCGTTCTCTCAAAAACTTAATTACATTTTTGAAATTTTTTACTCTGTATCTACGAAATGGCTGAACCAGCCTTGTTCAAAAACGAATCAACACGTCTTCTTATCAATAGGAATCGAATGTTTTTTGAATCATTCAAATCGGTTGAGCCGTGTTCCCGAAATCGTCAACGAAAATTTGTATCCGAACATACAACGCACACACACACATACATACATCCATTTTTTCTAAGGTATGCCAAAATGTTCAGAAACCTCTGAAAAGTAAAGATGTATAAAAACGCGTTTTTGGTCTCAGAAAATTCGTTTTCACGTGGTTTACTATATATAATGAATATTACAATCTTAATATCTTTATCAATATAATAATAAAAGTGTATAAATATGCACGAACAAAAATGGCAACTATGTACATCCTTTTATTACAATTTCGTTAAATACCGTGAAGGATTTTAAGACAATTATTTTTAGTTGAAGCAAGAATTTTTTTTGCATATACATAAATGTTTTGAACTATAATTCAAACTATTCTACCATTTTGAAGAAATACTATTAAAAAAAGCTTGAGAACAAAATTTTGCACCTTTATGTTAATTTTTTTGTATTGTATGAGTACTTAATCATATTTAATATTTTAAGTTTAAATATATTCATGTAACAATTGTATTATTGTTTCTGCATAATCTTCTTTAACAAGAAACTTGAAATGAATAAATTTAATTTAAATATTCATTACTGACAGCACGTTCTATGAGTTTCCAATAATAGAATGACATCACACCTTTGGAAATGATGTACATATTTCGGAGCAATTGTTGCAAGCACGTGTAAACAGGTATCAGAGAAAAACGAAATATTTGCACAATTGTACATTGAAGATTTAGTGCACATAGAAAATATGTACAATTTGATTTGTATGTAGAAAGATAAAATTTTATGAAGTAAGTATTTAGATAAAATAGTAATAAAACGATAAATATGAGTCATAATATAGAATTATATCATTTATCTAGTAATACTACTAGTACTAGTATATTAGTAGTAGAGTCATAACTTATGACTAATATCTATTTCTCTAATAGATTTTAGTCATATGTAGAGAAATAGTACTAATGTACTATTATATCTATATATTCTAAGATCTATAAGCAAAGCATGTCATTTTCCCATATCAAATTTGCTTGAAAATATGCTTAAGTTGCACTTCGTCTAAAGGCAAGTTGAACTAGCTGTAAGTGGAATTCTGTCTTAAGGCAATTAAGGCATCGTGCCTTAAGGCAAATTGCTGGAACTTCCCGTACCAAAAATTATTATTTTTTTTAAAAACGATTAACATTTTTGAAAAAAATTTACTTTGAAAAAATAAGATTTTTGAGAAACTATAAATTGGACAAAAGGACAAATTTTTTTAAAAAAAATTTTTTAAATTTTTTTTTTTTGAAAAAAAATTTTTTTTTCTTTATTTTAACATATTGTGGAAGATCTGAACTTTCTTTTCAAAGCAATCGTACTGCTTTAACTGCATAGGGACAAAATATAAAGCGCGTAAGCGCCGCGTCGCTCTCTAAAGCATAAGCATTGGTACGAAACCCATTGGAATGTTAACAAAATGTATACTTATTGTTAAAATCTCTATAAAATGTCTGATAATTTGATGTGCATATGTCTGATGATCATTTTTGACCGCCAAATGGCTCATTTTTTTACTTTTTCCTCCATATCTCCGAAACCGCTAGACCAACCTTCATGAAAATTTTATCGATTCTTCATCTTGTCAATACAAGTGAAATGTTTTTTGAATTATTCAAATCGGACGCTCCGTTCTCTTAAAAACAGAGTTACTGTTTTCGGCACTTTTTGCCCCGTATCTTCGCAACGGCTAGACCTGCCTTCGCCAAAAACTAATCAGCACGTCTTCTTATCAATACAAATCGAATCTTTTTGAATTATTCAAATCGGTTGATCCGTGTTCCCGAAATCGTCGACGAAAATTTGTATCCGCACATACATACACACACATACACACACAACATACATCCATTTTTTTTTAAGGTATGCCAAAATGTTCAAAAACCTCTGAAACGTAAAGATATATAAATTTTCATTTTTGATTTTTTTGCGATTACTATAACTTGCCCTACGGGAAGTTAAAAACTTAACGATGTTTGTATAAAGATTTATTCCCTAATAATTGAAATTTATTATCTTCTAAAATAAAAATGTTATAATTTGTAAATATTGACACGGCACATTATTTCAAACTTAGTAAACTCTCTATAATTAAACCACTGAGTTAGGTGCGAATTATTTAGAATGTTACGATATGCAATTTTCATCAAAATCATCAACAATTTTTTTTAATAAATAATTACAAAGAAAAACATGTGAAGTGATCATTCCAACAGTCCATATTTACCAAAAACTAATCCGCACGATTACCAAATATCTTTCTAATTGTTTTTAAATTTTCTGAATTATTCTATTCAAGATTTTTGGTCATAACGAACACATATTTCAAATTCAAGCTCATAAACACAATTTTTTTGGTGTCAAACGATTCAGAATCACTTAAAACATTATAAAAGACATAAAATTAGCAAATTGAATTTCCATGAAAAAAACAAAATTTTGCTTCGGGATATTAACGACTTTGGTACGGTGCCTATTAGTAGCGAAATGTCGCTCACAGCCGGCATGCGACGTCCGTACGCTGAGCGTTCTTATTACATACGTCCAATTAACCTGACGCCCGACTCTGCATTCTGCGGCCGTCATGTATATGTGTCGCTCGTACCGAACTTTGTAAGTATAGCTGTTTATGTATAATATTCTAAACATTATAATTTACCTGATGCAGTACGCCCATCTTTGAGGAAAATCCTTTCTGCGCAGACACTTCGTGCATGTCGTTCGGCTGAAGAAGCGCCGAGTCGTTGCTGCCATCCCGCTGAATTTTGGCCACTGCTGAACCAAATCCATTATTGTTCTCCGATTTCAGTATCACACAAACAGGTGTCTGATCCAACATAATTTGTTTCTCGTTTGATTCACTGAAAATAGAATAGTAAAAAGTAGCTCTTCACAACTTGAATTAAAAAAGACAAGTCCAATTAAAAATGTCATTGAGGAGTACTAATAATTTCATAAATATCATAAATAATAATCATAAATTTCATAAAATTGGTGAATTTCAAAATCACACATTTCGATTGAAAAACTAGATTCGGCCAAAAAAATTAAAGTACGGCTTATTTTAATTGTTTAACACGTTGAGTTCGGTGTCCGTCATTAGGGACCGACAGTCAACCATCCATTTGGCCGGCGTCGTCTTACCATATAACCGGCTTCGGGCCCGAGGACCGGATCTATTACTTTTGTTTCGATGGTCGTAAAAAATATGATTAATCTTAATGAAATGCTGTCAAATATAATTTTAATGAAATTTATTCAAACATTCAAAACGAAAATGTGGTACGTGTTAAACGTTGCCGATCGTTCGAAATTTGGCGCCGGGCTCAACGTGTTAACTACTGACAACTACTTTATCATGTACTAAGCAAGTGAAAATTTAGATTTATTTTAAAAAAATCTTTGCTTCAGTAATATTTTTATTAAATAAAGCAAAACGGTCAATGGCGTAATATAGCGCATTTGTTAAAATCATTAGATGATTTTGAGAAATTAGAATTCTATTAGTCGATTGGCAAAAAGAGCGCTACCGCCCACTTGGGGGCGCTCCTGGAAACCCAGGGGCAGTGATAAGCACAGGAGAATTTGGGAAATTTCGCAAATACAATACATTATATCTGCGAATTGCATAATTATTGTATTATTTATAATCGTTACTAATTGCTATTGTTTTTTTTTTAAAGGAGGCGGTAACATGACGGTACACAAATAAGTTTGGGAATGACTGGTTCAACAGGAAAAACTCCTGGAAACCAGGGAGCAATGATACGTACAGGTTAATATGGGAATATTTGCAAGTACACCATGTTGTATCTGCGAATTGCATAAATATATTACTCATAATCCGTACTAATTGATTAATTTTATTATTATTTTTTTTTTGTAAAGGTGGTTGTAGGTCAAATAAGCTTGAGAATTACTGGTTTAAAAGAAAAAACTGTTGAACTAAATATTATAAATATAAATACAAAAATACTATGAATGATTAAAATAATCAGAGAATTATTTCCTTCAAATAATTACCACAAAATTAAATTAATAAAATAATAATATCACTAATAAAAAATAAAACAATTCTTTTGTTTTAATCTTATGTATACCTACGTACCAATTATATTCAATGACTCTTATAAAAATAAAAAAACTTGTATTCAGTCAAAAAGATCAAGAGATAATCATATATGTACAGATTATGTAACAATTTACTTCTGTAATCGCATAAAATAGCATCACGCTATTATATTACTTTGTAATTGAATGTTATAATGAATCATATATCAAAGAAGTTATTGAAGACAAAACAAGTTAAGTTCATAAGTGACTAATTGTATGAATTTTTTTCTTGAATAATGTAATTATCAGTACTACTGTAAGACTGTAACGTTATTTGATTTTATAAATACCTTATTCAACAACAACAGAAAAAAGTTCAGAACTAAGTTCTTTCTTTCTACATATATCATGCATGCTGCAAATGTGATCTAAGAATTCATATGATTATTTTAATAAAAAAAATACTTTTAAATAACAAAAATTAAAAATTTTGGAAATGTTTAATTACTATGTTTACGAGTTCAATCATTGTTGGAGAAAAGTAAAGTCAAATTGTGCTTTTGCATAAAAATAATGATAGGAATTTATAGATCAATATTGCAAAAAACATGCAGATGTGCTTCTTTATAGATGACAACCATAACATTTGTCCTAACTCTATGTGATGAATTTATTATTACAATTTCTCTAATACTGATGAATTGGTGCAGCAATGCGAATAAGGGCTATTTTCACTTGGAAACATTTTCATATCTATATTTTCAAGCAAAATGAATAAAACTAGTTGATGTGGCATTTTGCCTTAACGCAATTTGCATGAATTTTCCGAAAAGTGTAATAATTGACTTAATCTACCAAAATTGAGATTTAGATACTTAGATAAAATTTTAAACTGCACGATTACATATATCATGTCAAGTAGTTCTTGCTATTATTAAATGATTTAAACTAAAGGCAGCATTTTATCGAATTTATTACAATGGCTTTTAAATTTGTGAAATTCAAATTTTGACTTATCATATTACAAAAGCGACTTTTGGCACAAATTTTGACTATCATATTCTTTCAAACTTCGATATGTTCTTTAGTACCATGATATCTATCAACATAAGTTGTTACATCGAAAAAATTATGTTCAACAGCTAATTATTAAGAAACGGTTCGCCCGATTCTTGTCCAAAACGAATCCAGATAATACCTTTCGAATAGTTTTTGAATTTTTTAAATCGATTCAGTTTTTGGCTAAAACGTGGACGTAAAATTTTTTACTTTTAATTACAAAGAAATGGCTTGGCAGATCGTCGTACTAAACTAAGAAACAATAGTTCTTATCGAGTTATATCGAATGGGTTATAAATTTTTGAAATCGATTCAGTAGTTCTTGAGAAAACGTCGATGAAACGTTTAATTATATTAAATGTCAAAAAACCTGGTCATTTTTTCACACTTCGATAAATTTTTAAAATTAAACTACTTGTCGTAAAGCCGTAATATTGCAGCATGTTCTATAGGACCACGATGTCTACCGCCCAAGAAAAGTTTCATAAAAATCGCCGAAAAAATGGTTTTCAACAGTTAAACAAGAAAACGGTCCAGAGCATCTTCACCAAAAACTAATCAGTAGCATTCCCATCTTTCAAACAGCTTTTGTATTTTTAAAATTGATTTAGAATTGCGGGCTAAAACGTGGACGAAAGTTTTTTCACTTTTTTGCTATTAACAAAGAAACGCTAGTCCTTATAGAGTTATATCGAATGGGTTTTAAATTTTAGAAATCGGCCCAGCCGTTTTTGAGAAAACTTCGACGAAAGGTCAAAAACATACATTCATACCTTTTCTAAATTTTGTCTGATTCGATTTAGATTAGCTTGGAACATCGAGGAAACATAAAATTAGCAAATCGTATTTTTTCGAGAACATAAAGTTCTCCATCGGTAAGTTAACAAATAAGTCTTGTCAGTATGCTAAAACAAGTAATAACAAAATAGGTAATAGATCTTATCAACTCATCGGCATAACAAAATATTTTGAAGTTGGTCAAAAACCTGGATGAAAACATGTTATGGAAAATTTACCTTCGCATTATCAAAACTATATTATAATTATCGCTTATTAGACTGAACATTATTGATAAAATTTAATATAATTAATGATTTATCAAAATTATATTAATATTAATATCATTTTGATAAGATACAATTGAAATGTTCTTATGTAATATCACACGTGTAACTTATCTTTATTAATAAAAATTAATATTTATATTCTCTGATAAGATAAAATATAATCTTTGAACGAACAATTAAGAAATAAAAATTAATGTTTAAATGTCAATGTTTGAGTCCTATTATACTTTTACAATATAATAGAATTATTTTACGATTTTTTACATGATTTAATAAATCATAGAAGCCTAAGTGAATTGCATTTAGCCTTATCGCATATTGCTAAAAATTTGCGATATGAGTAAATATTCGTCATAACCAGCAAATTTAACAAATGTGACTGAATGGACTCGGTCCTTCATTACTTCAATAAATTTTTATAATTAAACATTTCAACAATTATTTAAGTAACATCGGCCCGGTCGATCTTTACCAAAAACTAATCAGCACCACCACCAATATGATATGTTCCGAATAATTTTACTTTTCTTAAACAAAAAAAATTTTAAATGAATAGAAACGACTATTGCGTCCTTATCAAACTTCGAAATTGCTAAAATCAATCTAACCGATTTTGTAAAAAAAAAATTCGACAAAGAATCAAACTTTATCTTTTGAGAATGTCTGGCAAAAAAACTCTTACAAACTAAAAGTTAAAAATGAAATTCAGTTTACTCACACTGCACAAATATTTTCCCAAATGCTTTACATTTTTTATTGCAAACTATTACGTACCATAAACTAAAGCACATTATTTTGATTTTATTAACTTCCCGAAGAAGTTTATGTTTTCATCAAAAAATCCGATTCGCTAATCTTATGTTTTCTCGACGTTGCAAGCCATTCTGAATCTAATGAGACCAAATTTAGAAAAAGTATGTGTGGTGTGTATGTGTGTGTGTATGTGTGTGTGTGTGTGTGTGTGTGTGAACAGATTTTTTGCCGTAAATCGACGTTTTCTCAAAAATGGCTGGACCGATTTCAAAAATTTAAAAGTCATTCCATGTATGTCGATGAGGACTAGCGTTTATCAATTTTGCGCGACGATCTGCTAAGCCGTTTCTTTGTAATTTGAAAAAAACAAACTTTTCGTCCACATTTAAGCTCATTCTACCGAATCGATTTTAAAAAATCAAAAACTGTTCGAAAGATATTAGTTGGGAATGGTACTGATTAGTTTTAGGTGAAAATCTACCGAGCCGTTTTCTTGTAATTAACTGTTGAAAAAAAAATTTAAGTCGATTTTCATGGAACTTTTTTTGGCGATATATATCATTGTTTTATAGAAACTACTAAAATATTACGACCTTACGACAAGTAGTTTAATTTTAAAAATTCATCAAAGTTTGAGAAAATGAGTAGTTTTTTTGACGTTTGTTAAAAATAAAATTGGACGATTTTACTTGGTATAACGATAGAGTACTTGGTTTTAATGAACATATTAAGCTATTAAAGTCCTATGGAAACTGGTTCAATAATAATAGTTGTTGATTTCTGAAAATTGACTTTTAGAACATATCCCGTGTCAAAGTGTTCGTTCGCTTTCAATTATGTGTAATAAATCCACTCGGAATACTTTTAATCACTCATAATTTAATTTAGTTTTTATTGATTAAGTCGATTAATTACAATATCGGGAAGTT